ACCCCCATATACACCCCTTCATACAGCACTCCCCCCCCACACACACACAATACACACCTCTTCATACAGCACTCCCCCCCCCCCCCCACACACACACACAATACACACCTCTTTATATAGCACCCCCCCCCCCCCACACACACAGACACAATACACACCTCTTCATACAGCAGTCCCCCCCCACCCCCCATATACACCCTTTCATATAGTACTCCCCCCACCCCTCATATAAACCTCTTCTTACAGCAGTCCCCCTCTATAAACATCCTTTTTTACAGCACCCCCCATACACATGGCTTCATACAGAACCCCCTCCTCATCCCATACAATCCCTTCATACAACCCCTGTCACATACACATACACACTCCTTTACACAACACGCCTCAGGCACACCCTTTCATAAAGTAGTCCCCATACACACCCCTTCATACAGCCCTCCCATTCCCATACACACCTTTTTATACAGCACTCCCCATACACACCCCTTCATAAAGCCCCCTATACTTATCCCTTCATACAACACTCCCCAGACACACCCTTTCATACAGCCCCCCCATTCCCATACACAACTTTTTGTACAACACTCCCCATACACACCCCTTCATAAAGCCCCCATACTTATCCCTTCATACAACACTCCCCATACACACCCCTTCATTCATCTCCCCCCATATACACCTCTTCATACAGCACTCCTCATACACACTCCTCCATACACCCCCCCCCCATACGCACCCATTCATACAGCACCCCCATGCACACTCCTTCATTCAGCCCCCCCCCCCCATATGCACACCCCATCATAAACACCCCTTCCCTTCATACAGCACCCCCCCATACATATATCTTCATACAGTCTCCCCCCCACATATACACCCCATCATACAGCACTCCCCCCTTATACATCATTTCATACAGAACCCCCCCTTACACACACCCCCCTTCATGCAGCATTCCCTGTATGCACCCATTCATACTGTCCCCCCCCATATACACCTCTTCGTACTGCACTCCCCATGCGCACCCCTTAATACAGCACTCCCCATATACACCCCATCATAAAGCCCCCACATATGCACCCCTTCATACAGTACTCCCCATACGCACCCCTTCATTCAGCCCACCCCTCCATACAGCACTCCTCATACACACCCCTCCATAAAGACTCCCCCCTTGTGTGCACCTATTCATACAGTACCCCCATACACGTATCTTCATACAGCCCACCCCCTCCCCATGCGCATGCATTCATACAGCTTCGCCATACACACTCCTTCATTCAGCACCCCCCCATACTCACCTCTTCATACAGCCCCCCCAAACATGCTCTTTCATACAGCACTCCCCCCCACACACCCCTTCATTCCGCACCCCTCTCCAGGCACCACACAGGGAGTAATGTGGCAGTGGGGGTACAGGAACATGGTCCCACCCAGAGGCAGACTGACAACTCATGGGGCCGCCGGGCACTAGGGGATCATGGGGCCCCTGTGTCCTTGCCCCAAACTCAACAAAGCCTATGAAAAAGGTACCAGGGGCATCTCATGGGGCCCCCTACTGACCTCGTGCCCTCGGGCAGTGCCCGAGTTTCCAAATGGTCAGTCCGCCCCTGCCTGGTTGCCTTGCTGATGCTGATAGAAATCTAGTGAGCTCCTAACTTCCTGTAGTGGGCTGACAACGCTGCCTCTGCTGCACAATAATCCCGAGCATTGTTGTCAGCCTTACCCTGCTGGACTACAGAACACCTCCCTTGGGCAGTGCCTGAGTTTCCAAATAGTCAGTCCGCCCCTGGTCCCACCTACTCCTGGGAATGGAAAAGCAGTGTCCACCATGACTCAGGGCACTTTTTTACCCCCAGAGGAAATGGTGGTGTTTCTAGAAGGGGAGGGCTAATACCCGTTGTCCCCCATGAACACCCAAAGCACAGGCAGCCTGCATACGGCCAGCCGGGCTGCTCAATAAAGTCATCAGCAGGAGCGCAATAATGGCGATTATGTTAAACCATTGATTTGTACTTTTGTCCGTAACGATTTGAACACCTACGTAAAATTTAGCCGGGGCTGAAACCATTGATTTTCCTGCTATGAGTCACACATTAGGGGAGAGGGAGCGCAGTGCTTTGTTAGGCAACGTGTCTATTTACACTGCAATACAATGTTTGGGCCATATCAGTGCTGGGAGTATAAATAATGAGTCATGGAATAGAAATATCTCCTAATAGTGCGCTCGTCTTTTCTGGATTACCAGATCTGCACAGCTGTGTCACCCGAACAGATAAACACCACAATGTGGATCTTTGTCTCCCGTCTTCTGTCATCTGATGAGTTTACTTTAGAGGATGGTAAAGTTATGTTTCATGAGCACAATGATCATCAGATTGTCAGCCGGGGAACACACACCAGCTTTGAAGATCCAGGTCTACAGGTCTACCTGACCGACAAGCTGTACTACAGCCTAGCAAGCAAAACATGAGTCCAAAAGAATGACAGAGATAGAAGCAGTTCGAAGACTCTAAAACCACCATACCAATCGAAGATTCCTTATTGCTTTAAAAAAAGTGACAGTTATTTTCAGCCGATGTATGCGATGCATGCTAGCACATTGTGACATTACCTTGCAGGAGTTTTTTTTCTTTTTAGGTGCAGTTTACTACCGCTTTAACCTTTATGCTCACTGTAACATGCATTACTGCAACTCACCCCACTGCACCACAACACCAGGCTGTGGATAAGGGGTACCACCAGTCCTCCTGTATGGGGCCCAGGCTAGCAGGGGGGCCCAAGCAGCTGGGTTAATAGGATGTGGACAGGGAGGGTAATCAGCATGGTGGTGGTGGGGCAATTACGGGAACCAATCCCCTGTATGGCTTTCTCTGCAGCATCTGAAAGCTGCCTTCTTCTATTCTCCCTCCCGCTGGCTTTCAGATGCTGCAGAGAGAGACAATCAGGGGATCAGTTCCAGTAATTGCCCCTCATCACCACCCTCCCTGAACACCATACTTTGGCCCCTGCTGCCCAGGCCCCTTGTATGCCCCCACCCCTGCAGTGCTGCTGGGTTTCCTCCTCTTCTTCTCACCAACAGCTTCAAGCACACAATAGGATCCCTCAGCACGGAGATTGGGGGAAGGGTCCGGCAACAATGTCACATTTACCAGCCCCTTTCTTTCCTGAATGAACACAATGAGTCATCGATACTGTTCACTCACTGTGTTCATTCAAAAAAATGAAGCCTAGTAAACTGTTTTTTTTTTGGTAGGAGGACTAATTTATCACAGGGCAACTTGATGCACAGAAGCACATTGTCCTCCTGTACGGGGCCCAGGCCATCAGGGGGGCCCAAGCAGCTGGGTTAATAAGATGTGGGCAAGGAGGGTAATCAGCATGGTGGTGGTGGAGCAATTACTGGAACCAATCCCCTGTACGGCTTTGTCTGCAGCATCTGAAAGCTGCCTTCTTCTCCTCTCCCTCCCCCTGGCTTTCAGCTGCTGAAGAGAGGGCCATACAGGGGATCAGTTCCAATAATTGCCCCTCATCACCACCCTCCCTGTACAGCATACTTTGGCCCCTGCTGCCCAGGCCCCTTGTATGCCCCCACCCCTGAAGTGCTGCCGGGTTCCCTCTTCTTCTTCCCACCAGCAGCTTCAAGCACACAATAGGATCCTTCAGCACGGAGAGTGGGAGAAGGGTCCGGTAATAATGTCACATTTACCAGCCCTTTCCTTTCCTGAATTAACACAATGAGTGATCGATACAGATCACTCGATGTGTTCATTCATAAATGAAGCATAGTAAACTGTTTTTTTTTTTTTTTTTTGGTGGAGGGACTAATTTATCACAGGGCAACTTGATGCACAGAAGCACATTAAATTGACACAGAGGGGTTGATTTACTAAAACTGCAAACATGGTGCAGCGCTGCATAGAAACCAATCAGCTTTAGGTTTTTTGTCAAATCTCAATTGAAAAAGCTGAAGTTAGAAGCTGATTAGCTATCATGCACAGCTGCACCAGATTTTGCACTCTCCAGTTTTAGTAAATAAAGTCCATAATGTGAATGGATAATAAAAACAATCCCACTTACTGACCTACAGTATATACACTCAGCAGCCACTTTATTAGGCACACCTTGCTGGTACCGGGTTGGACCCCCTTTTGTCTTCAGAACTGCCTTAATTCTTCATGGTATAGATTCAACAAGGTGTTGGGAATTTTGTTCCATATTAACATGACAGCATCACGCAGTTAAGGCAGATTTGCCTGATGAATGGGCTACCGTGCCCAAACAAATGCAAGCTGCGTGGCCCACACTAGTGTGAACAGGGCCTCATTTATTAACTTCATGATAAATCACTCCAGGTCAGGGGTTCCCAGATTTTTCAGTATGAGGACCACATCGTAATTTTACAAATATTCATGAACCCCCCCCCCCCCCAAAAAAAAAATCAGTTTTATAAGAGAATTAATACAGTTGAAATCAATAAAATCAATAAATGATTCAAAACAAAAAAGAAAGAACTTCAGTAAAACAAAGCAGGGAAATTCAAAATAAGTTACAGAAGAACCTCATTACGGGGGAACCTCATACTAGCATCGCCACCAACCAGACAGCAAGGCAATAGAACTTAGCAACCTTTACATCAGGAGCTGCCGTTCAGATCAGAGTCTGCACTTACATCAAAATCTCCATCAGTGCCCCCTACCCCCTTACATCAAAGTTCACCCTTACCTTACAGCGTGGCAGTAGTCGGGGGGGAACAGAGCAGGTCTGGATGGCGGAAGTTCCATTCTATTTTGAAACCTGTGAAAAGCATGTCATTGGTTGCTAGGGCGCTGGTGGTCCTAACAACCAGCTATGAGAGTGTTACACTGAAGCAGGGGAAGACTGTAGGAAGGGTGGAGAAGCAGAGACCATAGACAGCCTCTGCAATTTAATTATGCAAATATATATTTAAATTGTGAAATTTAGTGCAACTAATCCACTGCTTTCATTTCATTTCTTAGTATCTTAGTTAATATGGATGACAACATCATTGAGCATTACTCCAACGAGGACACCTTCATACTGAATGTGGAAAGCATGGTGGAACAAGGCTTCAAGATCACACTGACGGAAATCTAACTAAAGTCACAACTATGCCTGATGGGAAGGAAGGTTCAAGCATGGAACAGAGATGACCAGACGTTCTCTTGTAACCCCAACCTTATCAGAGACATTATTCTAAGACTTGTTAATAGTCATCTGGACAAAGAATTTCCCACTTACTTCATTTTCCATACAAAGAAGAAAATGCAAGACAAAAGACTGATTATCATTTATTTATTTTGTCTCTCCACATTGTGGAATATTAATAAGCTGACATACTGTATTCTGGTTGGATTCATTGGTCATCTTGTTCCCATTCTGTAATATGTGCTCCATGGGGATGCTTTTTTCCTGCTTAGGTGTCCGTATTTCCTGTGGTCAGATTGGGTGTTTCAAGGGGAGGCTTCAGAACAATGTAGAGGTATGGCTGGGCAGACTGTGAATGTGGTCTATTCTGTGTCTCCCTTCTGGAATCCTGGCACATCAAAGTATAATGGGTCATCTTTGACTATAGAACCAAACTTTGCCAAGTCTACTGGAACCATAATCATTATATATTTGTAAAATTAACGACACGGTACAATAACGAGAATGTGTACAGACTTGCCAAATTTGTGCTATTTAAAGTGTATGTAAACCCCAACAATGAACTTCTCGTATTTGCTCCCTTTGGTCTGTGAAATAGACCGTTGAATGTGTTTTGTTAAATCTGTTCAATAAGTGCAAAAAAATACCTGTCTATCCTGCCAAAAATGCAGTGAGCTGACAACACCCTGTGCTCCCTGCCTCTGCTGACGGTTATCAGATAGCATTGTTCCCAGCTATCTCTTTGGGCTACAAAACCCCTCCCCCTTTGTTATGGATGAGAGAGAGGTTTTTGTAGTCCTGTTCTAAGGTGGCAACACTGCAGCTCCATAGATAAGGTACAGTGAGTGAGCATTGTCATCCTAGGACAGGGAGTTTGTTACTAGCAGGATCATCAAGTAGAAATAAAAGGAAGAAAGCAAAAAAAGAAATGTAATGCGACTACCAAATCTAAGGATAGGTTCACATCTTCTGTGTTTCTGGAATGCATCCAAAATTGCACACTTTCCCAACATGCACAGAAACGCACCGCCCTTTAGCAGACACACGGCCGTGTCAACAAATGTTAATGGCACCCCCCCTCATGTATCTGCTAACACACATATTTTCACAAGTTCCAGACCGCATGGTGCAGCAGCACTATGTGGTTTGGTGCGGCACAGTAGTGAAAAAGGGTCAGGGACTTCTTTTTGTGCATAGAGCAGCCCTTTGAAATCAATGGACTACCCCACACATGACGCGTGGAAACACACGCTTGCTACATCACACTGGCATGGTGTGAACAGTCTAAAGACAAACCAACTGCAACATATTATACCGTTGGGGTATTGGTATGCTTTAATACATAGATAGACTTTAATAGAAAGATCAAATAGGAAGCAGCCCACAACTGCCCATAGCAATCCATGTGTCCTCCCAAACACACAAGTCTTCTGGCTAATGTCAGATTTGCCAAAGTGCCAGTCCAGGCATACCAATATAACATATATTAAGCACTCCATACTGGAAATAAACATTAAAAGGAGATCTATGCAGCTTCCATGAGGTCTAAATTTTGTACAGAATTTATGTGTAGCCAAACTTGTGTTTTTTAACATGGTCAGTCATCTCTTCTAAAAACTGAATGTACAAAGAAAAATGATCACTTTTAAAGTATTTTGTAAGTAATCTTTAGAAAAGAAAAAAAAACAATGTACAAATTTTTTTTGTAAAGTGCAATATATTATGTCTATTTTTTATTTCCTTCATCTTGCCTTGTTTACTGCCGCTTTGGCGATTACTTGCTTTTTGTATCAGCTTTTTAAATATTTAAAATATGGTCATGCACTGTTAATCAGCAATATAGTGCAAGGAGCAATATGATGTGCAAATGTAGTAATCCCCCCCCCTCCCATTTACAATATTGCGGTGCATTAGCACACATGCATTACCGTTCAATGCTGCAAGTCAATATTCATTATGCCACACTGGTGGGCTGCCTAATGGACCCAAAATACACCAAAAAATAGGTGCATGTGCTATTTCTGGCAGCACAACACACATTATTGCATTACTGAGCATTCTGCTGTGCTGCAACGCATGTCCGCTGGCAACGCACATAAGGGTGCTAATCAGAATACTCTGCTGTATGTTACTGCAACACAATAGTGTGAATGGGCCCTTGCCATCAGAAATCATCACCACGGAACTGAAAGCAGGTTGGTCACTATGGGTAGCTTCACTTATTGCATCTTCATTGCTGTTTGCAATATCTGTTATTAATGAGCCCAAAAACGATATATTGTTATCTCTTTACAGGTACTTATTTCCTAAGAAAACCACAACTCCCATATGGTGGCCAAAATGTGGTATTTTCCCAAACCACTCTATTGTTTGTCATTGAATAGCATTTGACCTGTAAAGGAAAAAGGAGAACATTCAATTTTGCCCTATTCGCACAGAATGAACGTAGGAGCAGTTTCACTGGATAAATAGCTATGCCATTTTATTTTTATGTATACACCTTTTTTAGTGTTCCAATACTTACTCTCATTCCAGATTAAAAAAACAAACATACTTCAGTAGGAAGTAACCATTACTGAGCAATATTTCCAAGTGACAAGTTTTTTGAAAGTGAAACATTCCTTTAAACGTTAATACAGTGGCAAGCATGCAAATAGATATGTAGTAATCAACTGGAAGTACTTTGATTTTTTTTTTCTTACTGTGGTGGCAAGTATGTAAATAGATATGTAGTAATAAACTGGAAGTACTTTGATTTTTTTTTTCTTACTGTGGTGGTAAGTATGTAAATAGATATGTAGTAATGAACTGGAAGTACTTTAATTTTTTCATACTGTTTTATTTGTATTTTTGTTTTAAATGTGAAATATTTGGTCAGGTGTATACTATTTTTCAATATATACATATGCTAACTTTTGCTAACTTTGTCATCTGTGCTTCCCATAAAAAACGCTGTCCTACTCTGTACATTGTCAGAGTACATTTCATATTTTTTAGTAAGGAACATAATCTACAAATTAACTTTTTATAAAGAAACACATAAAATCAACTTGCAAACGTAGTCTTGGTCTGGTGACCATCCTGATGGTATAACCCTGGATTTGGTTTCATATTATGTACCTGTATAATATTTCTTTTATAAAACACTCCTACAATTAAGAGGTTTTTTTATTTAATAGAAAGATCATTGCTCTCAAGCAACCATCAATATTGTATAATTATAACATCCTGTTTTCCGTTACAAATAAAGCTAATTTTTCTTTTATTTGTGTTAATATTCTTATTTTCAGTACAACTTTTTCATGAGTTGTTTCTGACCTTGATATAGTCAGGTGCCGGCTATATCATTATGCCACTCCGGGACATTTACAGATGAGACTATGGTTAATCCTTTTCCCCCTAGTGCCCAGTACTGGGACTGCTACATCACTGACTGTTAGCAGAGTGGATTCAGCTTTTCTGACAGCAGAGGATCTTGGGACCTGTAGTCCTATAGCCAATATATCCTGTATTCCTGAGTGCTGATTGAACTACAACTACCAGAGAGCTGGTGAATGAGGAGGATGTTGGGAGAGCAGATATATTACACAGCAAGGGACTGGCTCGCTCTCTTAGCATGGGGTTCAGAGCTGAACACATGGGCACTGTTGTACTCCTTGAGAGACAGATTGCTGGCCTACTGCTGTGGGACTCTGCACATCAGTTCAGCACCGATTGCCACCCCCGGATCGCACCAGCTTCTCTGCATTGGGACTATCACTGTCTGGTCACACAGACATCTCTACCCGCCGCCCTGACAGGCTGTCAGGCAGTAACTCTGCACATCCCTGCAACTAGCCAATAGCCTGAGCAAGAACCCTGTTCCTAGCAGACCATTCTATCCATAGGATTGGTGAGCGGATGGATGCCCAACCTCTTTTTGTCATCACTCATGAAGACACCTTTACACTTCAGTACCAGGAGATCGTTACTTTGAGGAGTACCACAGTCTATCCCTTTAACTTCATTGAATTACCGGTATTCACTAATGTTTATGGGTTCCACCATTGCTAGCAGGAGACAGAGATACCACTATATCAGGAACTTTAATCACTTGCTGACCTCCTCACATGGGATTATGGCAGCAAAGTGGCTCTCCTGCATTGGATCACGTATCTAATACATGATCCAGCTCTTCCGGGTAGGGGGCACTCATGCGCCGCCTCGGCTGTGCTGTGATTCACAGCACAAGTCGATCAGCGGGTCCTGACCAATGATTTACAGCCAGGACCCGCTGATGGGCGAACAGGAAGACAGGACAGACCTCTGTGAATGTAAGCAACACAGAGCTCTGTCCTGTCAGTAAATCAGGGTATAAAAGTCAGCACATCCCTTAGTAAAAACACAGTTACACTTAGGCACACCCTAGATGATAATCCCTTCCCAGTCAGTGTCATTAGTGCAGTGTCAGTGTATATCATTAGCACTGATCACTGTATTGGTGTCACTGGTTCCCACAAAGTGTCAGTTACTGTCTGATTATCCGCTATACTATCACAGTCCTGCTATAAGTTTCTGATCACCACCATTACTAGTATAAAATAAATAAAAATTCTAGTAAATATATCATAGTTTGTGGACACTATAACTTTCATGAAAATCAATCAAAACACACTTATTGGAATTTTTTTTACCAAAAATATGTAGCAGAGTACATTTTGGTCTAAACTTATGAAGAAATTTGACTTTTTAATTTGTTATTGGATATGTTTTATGCATTTATATAATTTTAAAAAACTCAATGGGGATCAAATACCACTAAAAGAAAGCTCTGTTTGTGTGGAAAAAAAATACATTTCATTGGGTACAGTGTTGCATGACTGCCCAACTGTCAGTTAAAGTAATACAGTGTCAAACAGCAAAAAATGGCCTGGTCATGAAGGGAGTAAAATCTTCCACAGGGCAAGTGG